GCGATGATGTCCAGCCTCTAGAGTGAGCCACATTCTGGGACTCCAAGCCTGGGCCCTGTCTGTCCTGCTGTTCCTAGTGGTCCTGACTGGCCCTGCCCTGTGTCAGGGACTGGGCTGAGTGAGGCTCCTTCATCACCCCTGGCTGGGCGGCAGCTGGGCCCCCTCACAGCCCCGCCCTCCCTCCCTGCAGCGGCCTGGAGAAGGACGGCAGTGGGGAGGGCTTCCCGCTGAAGAAGCAGAGCGGCATGCTCCTAACCCTTCCTGATGCCCACGAGGCCGACTCCGGTAAGGACCTGCCCACAGCCCACCGCCCTGGCCCAAGGGCAGCAACAAGGAGGGTGGCACCTGAGAGGGCCCTGCCCAGCTGGCCAGATCCCACTGCCCCAGGGCCCTGGTGCTAGGGAGTCGCCTCCGGGCATCTCTCAGGGCTGGCCCTCACTTTGGGGAGGGAAGGCTGCTGGTCTGGGCTGGGTGCTGGAGTGAGCCTCCTGGGGGTAGGGGAGGGAGACTGGGGTGGAGGGGGGCTGTGGAGCATCTTTCTCGCTGCCATGGGGTCGATCCTGACGCCTAGCACTCTCCTACAAGACGGGGGAACTGTCCCTGTGAGTTTCCAATTCTCTATGGGAGTAAAAAGCCCTGTCTTTCCCACGGAGCAGTTGGTAGCTTCAAACTGCTAATCTTTCGATTAGCAGGGCCAGCGTGTAGCCACTATGCCACCAGGGCGGTGGAACTTAGAATCCGGTTTGCCTGGCTAAAGCTCGAACTGACGGAAGCTCCTGATCCCACTAACACCTAATGATCACACAGGCTGGTGTGCTTCTTCCATGTGGGCTTTGTTGCTTCTCAGCTAGATGGCCATTTGTTTATGCACCCATTTTGTCTTCAGTGATCATGTTGGGAATGTGAGCATCATAGAATGCCAGTTATTAGAACAAAGTGTTCTTGCTTTGAGGGAGTACTTGAATAGAGGCCCAATGTCCATCTGCTACCTTAATACTAAACATATAAATATATGTACATAGATCTATTTCCCTATTATTATATTTACATATGCACATGCCTGTATTTAGACCTCTATAAGTGCCCTTTGCTTCCTCTATTTTCTTTTACTTTCCTCCTGTCCCACTATCATGTTCAGCCTTCAGGTTTTAGTAATTCCTCTCAGTTACATTGCCCTTGATCAAGTCCCACCAGGCATCCTATGAAAGACAGGCTTTCTACTCCTATAAGCAGGCACTGTCCTGGAAACCCAGGGGCAGTTCTGCCCTGTCCTGTAGGGTCCCTGTGAGTCAGAACGGGCTTGATGACAGTCAGTTTGATCTTTTCTCAGTGAAGTGAGTCGAGCAGAGAGGAGCGGGTTGCTGGAAGGAAGAAATGTTTTGGAATTGATTGTGGAGCGGTTGCCAAGCCCTGCTGGGTGTGCTTGGCCTGTGGAATGATAGGGTATCGATTAGCTCCCAATAACATGGTTCTGTGTGAATAAATAAGTTTAGCTTGAAATATCTTTTTAAAACACACACATCCTGAAGATGCAAATGAGCCCAAGAACAACTTAAAGGAATTTTTTTTCCCATTTAAATGAACTTTAAAAGGCAAGCACATCTTTTTGAGGGAGTGGGAGACTAGTCCTTTTCAGAGAGTCCGTGGAGTTGGACTCAGAGGACCTGGCCTTGATGTCTCCTGACGGACATGAGCCCAGCCACCACCTTTCTCAGCCACCAGCCAAGGGCCACGACTTGGCTTCACGGCCCCCTCTCAGGAGTGCTGCCGGCTATGGGGCTGCACAGCCTCAGGTTAGCAGCTGCTCCCATCAAGGGTGTGGTGTGAATACACCTGCCGCTCTGCGAAGAAAGGCCAGGCAATCCTCTTCCGTGAAGATGACAGCCAAGAAAGCCCCGCAGGGCAGGCCTGCTCTTTCACACTCTGGGACTCCTGGATCCGGGGGCCAGCTCGGCAGCAGGTAATAGCGACCGTTGCAGCCGCCTTGCACTTAGACAGGAGGAGCTGTGAGCAGGGGGTGCGGGGGCTGTACGTGTTACAGACTGAGACCTGCCCCGGGGTCTCCTGATTCCGCTGGAGCCATGACTGCTGTTGAGAGCATGTTCCCATTTCACCGGCTTTGTTGCTATGTGCCATGGAGCCGGTTCTGACCCATAGCGACCGTGAGCACAACAGAAGGAAGTGCTGCTCCACCCTCACGATGGTGCCTGAGCCCACTGTGGGCCTACCTCTCTCATTGCCCCTCCGTTTGACCAAGCCCGATGTCCTCTCCTGGGACCTGTCTCTCCTGACAGCATGTCCAAAGCAGGCGAGACATAGTCCAGCCATCCCGGCCTCTGAGGAGCACTCTGGCCAGCCTTCTTTCAAGACGGATCGATTTGCCCCGTTTAGCACTCCACAGTACTTACTGTCAGTGTTCTTCACCAGCACCGGAATTCTTGGGAATTATAAAAGCTAGCAGTTTGCCTACCCTGAGCAGGGTCTGTGCCACCCAGAGCCGCTGCAGGAGAGGATGCCAGAGCCCACAGGGACTGACCCCACCTGCTGCCCGAGAACCCGACCAGCACACCAGCGGAGGGGGCCCTCGTCCACGTGGAGCAGTGGCGTCTAAGCCAAAAGTAAGACTAGGAAAAGGCAGCCACCAGCTCGCCAGCTGATTAGTCTGGGTAAGCGGTCCTGCAGGTGTTTTTCTCGATGAGTCTGGATAAGCGGTCCTGCAGATGTTTTTCTGTGCCCATGTTTTCGTCACAAAAACGAGACCCGGGCTGCTCGCCGCCGCTCTTCTTTCCTTCCCGGCGTCTCGTCCACCTCCCGTAGCTGCAACCCCATCCCACGTGAAGGCACGACTTTGCAGTGTGGCACGGAAAGCAGGAAGCGAGCCCAGAAAGGATCTCCCCCCTCGGCTGTAGTACCAAGGCGGAAACAACTGGAGCCTCGCCCGGACCCTCACTCCAGTCAGCCAGGAACGACTTGCAGGAGCAGCCGCACCTGCTCGCAGCGTGCTCAGCTGGCTCTGTCTGGGGCCGCCCTCGGGGCGAGGCGCTGAGTCCAGGGAGCAGCGTGGAGATGGAGGGCAAGGCTCCGCACTGCCTGCAGCGTGGCTCTGAACCGTGTTCGCCAGTCTGCCGCTCCTGACCACCTCGAGCCCAAGGCTCCGACTGAGCGGAAGGCGGAATTTGAAGAAGAGAGCGTGAGGAAGAAGCGGAGGCCCCTAACTGCACACACACAAGGTCCGTGTTCTCCAGGGCTCTGCAACACGGTGTCTGGAAAGCCAGCCTCCCACTTGAGAAGGCTGGCCCCCCCGCCGTGTGAAGAAAGGGGGCTCCACACCTCCTTCAGACCTGCCGAGAAGAGCAGAGCACCGGGGGATAGAAGAATGAGAATCCACTCCTCAACGCACACGATTGCTGACCAAGATGAATAAGGCAGAGTATTAAAGTTGTGTGTTAAATGGGGGGGGCGGGGAGAGAGACCCAACTCTTTTGTGACCTGCTCTCTCCATCTGACTGCAAAACTCGAGCACCTTCCCGCATCGCTGCCCGTGGTGACAGCGTAACCATGACACGCTGTGGGTAGGTCCCGTCGCGTCAGTCCGAGTCCCAGCAGCCCGTGCACAACAGAAGGAAGCACCGCCCGGTCCTGCGCCATCCTCCCATTGTGCTCCTGTGGGAGCCCGCTGTGCCCGCCATGGGCCGTCCTCTTGTCCACTGCCCCTCCCCACGTCTGAGGACGTGAGGCTGCGTCGTCTTGCACTGTGAAGCCTCCGTTTGTTTCCAGTCCGTTCCTGTCACCAGATACCGAAGTGCCTTTTCTCCTCTCTGATGCCGGCAGTGGTAGAATGGGCACCTTTGCCAACACTGATCGTTGTTTTCCTTCCAGGGAGATCCCAGGACGTGGGTCTCGTGCCTGACAACCCCTCAAGAAGCTCCCCTCACCACTGGGAGCCAATGGATGGGGTGGGATTCTGCTCAGTGGGTCTGAGTGCCAGTTTCTCAGCCACCAGACGCCTCACCCTGCCTCTCCCATGGGGCTGTGCAGTCACACTCCTGGGGCTTCCAGGCTGTGGCCCCGGCTTCTGCTGCTCAACAACTGCGGGCCCCCCCCCCCCCCATTCTGCAGGCTCTCAGCGGGCGTCATCCATCGCAGCCTCCCGGCTAGAGGAGGCCATGTCGGAGCTGACCATGCCCAGCTTAGTCCTGAAGCAGGGGCCCATGCAGCTGTGGACCACACTGGAGCAGATCTGGCTGCAGGCCGGTGAGTGCCTTGCCCCAGCCGGCGGCCCGGGTCCCACTTGCAGGCCATCCAAGTTCTCAGCACCCTGTCTTGTCCTATGGGGCCGTGAGGACCCATGACCAGGTTCACCTGGGCAACAGACTTCTCCTTGAAAGGGCTGGGCTCCAGCTGTCTCTCCTTTGCAGTTCTCACAGGTCACGTAGTCTATCTGACTGCCGGTTTCCATGCCCACTAGATGGGGGCATTCCTGCCTGCCTACCTCGGCCAGGTTCTAGGGCAGCAAATCCACATGTAAGAGGACTTGAGGTCGTGGAAGGCCACTCAGATCGATGGTCCTTGTAGGTGGTCTCAAAAACAGGACCCATCCCTCCTCCTTGTCCCCACAGGAGGTGGGACTGGTAGTAGAGGTCATTAGGGGCGACGGATTGGTGACAGCCCCTCCAGGGAACTGATTAGTCCCGTGAGGGTGAAGGTGGGGGTGACTCTCTCTGTAGAGTTCCAGCTTCAGTCTCTCGGACCTGGATTCGCGTACCTGGGCACTTGCTGGCCTGTCCCCGTCGACGGGCCTGTCCAGCCAGAAGCATGATCACCATGGGTGAACCATGGGAAGTGCTGGGCAAGTGGAGCTGGGCTCTGTGGCCCTGTTGGGTCAAAGGCCATGTGCACCTCGGGCCTGGCCAGAGGTGGTGCTTGCCATTGTATCTGCCGGGGGAGAGGGGAGGGGGTGACACGGAAAAGAGACAGTGACCAGAGGGCCTCGGCGGAGAGGGAGACAGTGACCGGAGGGCCTCGGCGGAGAGGGAGACAGTGACCGGAGGGCCTCGGCGGAGAGGGAGACAGTGACCGGAGGGCCTCCACGGAGAGGGAGACAGTGACCGGAGGGCCTCCACGGAGAGGGAAGGTGATAGAACATGGGGATCCTGGAAATGCCCCTCTGGGCCCAGGAGCATCCCTCACGCTTGCTCTGCTTCCTGTCCTGTCTCCCACCTCCCTCCCCCCACCTGGGGCTGGGGCTGGTAGTGCCCGGGGAGGTGGCAGATGGAAGTGAGGAGTGGCTTACTGAGCAGCACATCCAGTTGACAAGTCAGAGTTCACCGGAAATAGCCTTCCTGCTGCGTGTGTGTCACGTGTGCACGGGCCTGTGCACATACACACACAGTAAGTTCTGAACGCAGGGGAATTAGGCTGGGCTGCCAGGGAGGCTAGACTGCCTCGCCTGGCAAAGGAGAGCCCCTTAGGCTGCAACGGAAGTGTGTAGGAAGGGGGGGGTTGACAAACCCAGAGGAGGACTAGCCAAGGGGTTGTCTTAGGAGACACGGAGCCAAGAAGGCTCCTAGTAGGACCGAGGGGGGTAGAAAGCTGCCCCCAGAGAGCTTCCCGACCACAGGCCCCGAGCGAGACTAGTCCCAGTTCCCTGTGCTGCCTGCACTGGGCATCCATGCCTGCCCGTCTGCTACCATCAACCGGTGAGGTGTTTGTCTCCAGCCTGCTCTCCCTCAGACATGCTGTGACGTTCCCATAAACCCATTCCCATGGGGTCGACCCATAGCAGCCCTGTAGGACGGGGTGGAACTGCCTGTGGGCCTGAGACCCTTTCTGGGAGTAGAAAGCCTCCTGGTTCTCCCAGTGGTGGTTTCAAACCGCTGACCTCATAACCGCCATGCTGCTGGGACTCCTCGTCTAACCACAGTTCAGCAAATCTGCAGGAGGACGCTCTTCCCCCGAGCGGTCTGGGATGAGCTGCTCTCTCCAGTTTGGTTTGAGATAAGTTGACTATCAGTCTGTTTGGGAACTCAGGTCCTTCCTTCCTGCCTCCTCGCTGGTTGGAACATGCACAGCCTTTTTCTCCCAACCCTCTTCCTCCCATCCACCCCCGGGCGCTCTGCCCCAGAGGTTGTGCCAGGCCAGTGCTGCAGGCCCAGGGAGGGAGGGGCAGGAGCTCTTGGGCTGCCGCTGGGTGGTCAAGGCTGGACTGAGTCTCTGCTCCCAAATGCACCTGGCTCGGGGGTGGGGGAAGGTGGGGGCTACCATGGAGCTGCCCCCCACCCCCCACCCCCGGCTGACTACAGGCAGTCTGGGCAGCATAGGAACAAGCCGGGCTCCCATCTTATTCTGTGGAGCCCATCATTGTAGTAGTGTGGTCCATGTTCCCAACTTCTTGAATCCCTGCTGAGAGTGTCCTCCAGACAGGAAGTTGGGATCCCAGGCCCAGGCCGCTGGCCCTACCTCAGGGCCTGAGGCAAAGGAGTCTCCTCCTCTGGGCCCCTGCTGTGGGGGTGGGGTGGGGGATGTGACCAGACCTTGGGACTTCTCCCAGGGTCCCTCACACCTAACTCTGATGCCTGCAGGCTCGGAGGGTTGGCTCCTGGGCTACCCCACTGGTGGTCAGGGCTGGCCATGGCCAGGTTCTTCTTAGGATAAGGTGACCAGATTTTAACATTGGTAAAACAGGACAAAAGCAGGACACCATTGATAAAACTCATATCCTGACGAAAGAGCCACATGGCAGCCGAACGCCGTGGTATGCAGAAAAAATTGTTAAAAACCGGGACTGTCCTGCCAAAAGCGGGACGTCTGGTCACCTTATCTTAGGACCCAATCTTTCCCTCCAGCCCCCCAGGGCGGGGCCTCTGTTCCACCTGAAGGCCCTCTCACCTTTATGAGGGCTCAGGTGAGGGTCTTTTGGGAGAACCAGGCTTCAGAGGTGGCTCAGGCTCCCCTTCATTCACTCTGCTCCTGAGGGTCTGCCCAAGAGGGGAGTGAGCAAGCCCACCCCAGTCAAGCCTGAGTCTGGGGTGGGGGCCCTACTGGCATGAAAATGCCTGTCCCCACGCCCTCAGGAAGCAACCACGTTCCAGGGGACAGATGTTTCCCATTTGTGGCAGCCTGGGTGCTGGCGGGAAGAGGAAGGAAATGGAGGGGCGGGGAGCGACTCGGAGCTGGGCAGGGGGAAGAGGGGGCTTGGGAGTGACTTCTCTATGGCAGGGCGAGGTGGTGGTGGGGGAAATGCAGTGGAAATAGGAAGAAAGCACAGTCCCCCAGAAGTGCTGAGCCAGGCAGGCCCGTGTGGCTGGTGGGCAGGGTGCCACTGCCCCTGCTGCCCACCGCTGTCTAGGGAGCACCATGTTTGGTCAAATGGCCGACAGGGCACCCGAGCCACTGCCAGGACACAGGCCAGGAGCCCCGTGTGTCTGTGCGCAGGGCAGAGTCTGGCCGGGCACACCCCTTGGGTGCCTTCTCGCTCGCTCTAGTCTCTCGTTGGTTTCCTGCATACATGGCAGGGAGGCCCAGCAGCCGAGCCTCATCCATCCAGCGCCTGTTTTTCAGGGCTTGCTCTTTGGTGGACGGCCAGCCCTACGAGCCTGGGGCCTCAGAAAGCTCCTGGGCTCTGGGCAAGAGGGAGCTCGTGGTCTCTGTAATTGAAATCTGTTGATGAAGGCGCCTTGGAGGACTGTCCGGGGAGGGACCAGGTGCCCCTTCGGGAGGCCAGGTGGCAAGTTGTAAACAGCTTAATGAGCCTCGTAGGAGCCAGGTGGACCTGGCCTGGGACAAGCCTCTGGGCAAGGTCCAGGGCAGCGGATGGAGAAAGCAGCCACAGGGTCTGGCACAGGAAGCACCAACTCATGCCCACCTGCAGCCCTAGACCCCAGCGCCCTTGCCTCTCCTGAGAAGACTTTTCCAACCCTACCTGCCCAAGCAGACCCAGTCTGAGCCCAGCACTCCGACTGGCTCTTATCACTGCACCGTCGCACCGCTCAGACCCAGTGCCTCCTGGTCAATTCTGACTGTTAGCAGCTCTCCCTAGATCAGGGGTTCTCAACCTTCCTAATGCCGGGACCCTTTCATACAGTTCCTCATGTTGTGGGGACCACCTCCCCCCAACCATAAAATTAACTTTTGTTGATTTATGCTACTGTTATGAATCAGACGACCCCCATGAAAGGGTCATTCGACCCCCAGGTTGAGAACCGCTGCCCTAGGGTGTCCGAGACTAAACCATTCTTTATGGGAGCAGACAGCCTTGTCTTTCCCGAGGAGCACCTGCTGGGTTTGAACCAATGACCTTCCAGTTAGAAGTTATTTTCATGACTCAGTGACCCCTTAGCTTTTCCCTCTTCTCCAAGGCACACGGTGGTCAGTAGGTGTGTCCTGTCCGCTGATCGGTTGGGGAGGCAGCCAGCTGGGAGTCCCGGCCGCAACCAAGCAGGGACAGGACCCATAGCAGGGAGGAGACAGGGGTCCATGCTCAACATTCCTGTCTGCTGGGCTTATCTCCCAGTGGCTTCTGCTTTGGGATCTGCAGCCTGGGCGGTCTCTGGGGACCAGAGCCTGGATTTCTCTCTTCCTTATCCTGGAAGCCCGTCCGTTTTCCAGTCAATTCTCAGATGCCTCCACTTGCTTCTCCCCGCGGGAGAGGAAGCGTGCCCTCCCCAGGTCCCCTGTGATGTTCGGGGGTGTCGCAGGCTGCTTCTGTTGCAAGTGGTTTTAGGCTGCAGCGTTCACGCCGACGTCCCTTAGTGTGCTCTGCAGCCGTGGCCTTGGCCTGGTTCATCCAGCTTTCTGGAAGCCTCCTTTGAAGCTCTTTCTCCACCCCACACCCAGGGCTAGTTGACAGTGCGCCTCTATAACAGCACCCCTGCTGCAGGGCAGGAAATGAGTGTCTCCAGGGACTGTCAGGACAGCTCCCCACCCCCCTTTTATGGAGTCTGGGCTGTGGCAGGAGGCTAAGGAGCAGTGGGGGGCCTGCGTTGGCAGGGCTTTCTCTGGGAAGGGCTTAGGGGGAGGTTTGTTACAGTGGAATCGCCGGCGCACCTGCCTCCCTCCGGACATCCTGGTGGGGATCCAAACAAACCAAGCCCATTCTGACCTGCAGCTGTCCTGTGGGACGGGGTCGAGCGGCCCCTCTAGGTTCCTGAGGCTGCCCCACTTTCCTCGCCCAGACTGGCTGGTGGGCTCCAATTACCCACTGTTCAGTGGCAGCCAAAGGCCCAGAAGGCTCAGGGCTTGTCCCACAGGCACTTCCGGGAGGCTGCTGGGATGTAGCTGTCTCAGCACCACCTGGCTGAGCCCCAGCCTCTCTGCTCCCCGTCCCATGGCAAGATCCCATGGTTCTCCCTGGGGTTCACCCCACCGCTTCCTGGTCACACTGGGCAGATTTGGGGCATTACCCTGAGAGGCCCGGTCAGCAGTCTCCCATTCCACCCCACTGAATGAACCCAGGTGTCCGAGTGTGGAGTAGCACGGTCAGTGCCTGCCTGCCCACCCCGCCTCCCCCACCAGGCCCTCTTCAGCATGGCGTCTGCTGGGCAGCCCCCCACCAAGCCCTTACTGCCAACAAGTCCATTCCAACTCATCGCGCCTGCACGGGGTTTCCTAGCCCGCCTGCCCTGGGCCAGGGCTCCTCTGACTCAAAACACTTGCCCAGTGCCTGCTCACCGCAGGGTCAGCATCGGAGTCCACCAGCCACTCCGTGGGACAGTTGAGTGTCTGCCCCTGTGACGATTTACAACCTCAGCACCCCGCGCAGGGCTGCTATGGGTCGGGATCGACCCAGCAGCAGTGGGTTGGGGTTGGTTACTTTGGGTTATGTTGGCAGGGTAGTTTTTATCCCCAAGCCCTGGGGGGCGGGGGGAACCTGCCTTGCTCACACCCCACCACCCCTCTGGCTCCACAGCCGAGCTGTTCCTGGAGCAACAGCACCTGAAGGAAGCCGGCTTCTGCATCCAGGAAGCGGCGGGCCTCTTCCCCACCTCGCACTCGGTGCTGTACATGCGGGGCCGCCTGGCCGAGGTGAAGGGCAGTTTGGAGGATGCCAAGCAGCTGTACCAGGAGGCCCTCACGGTGAACCCGGATGGCGTCTGTATCATGCACAGCCTGGTGAGTGCCGCCCCAAGCCCCGCTCTCTGGCCTGTGCCTCCCTGCTGCTGCTGCTTGCTGCAAGGGCAGGTGGCTCCCCTCTGGCCGGGGACTGGGTGGCGGAGTTGATGGGGCTGCTCCGGGACCTCCTCTGGCTATAGGATTCTGTGTGGTGACTCGGCCCCAGGGGGATTTCTTGGTTGCTCCTTAGGTCCCTGTACTGAAGGCAGAGCCATGGTCCAGGCAGATACCAAAGCACTCTTCTTCCAAAGGGTCTCTGGGGGTCCCCTCAAGCTGGGGGGCACATGTCTCCTGGTAGAAGACAGTGGATGTCCCGGGCTCCGGGCTCTGCTTGAGGGTGGGTTTCCAGTTCAGGGCGAGGCTGCAGGTGGCTTGTGTGCATGCTTGTCCTGGCTCCCTCTCTCGCTGATGGGCACCGCTGCACCTCGCTTGGCCTTCTTACCTTTGCTGCGGAGACCCTGCGGTCCTGAAACCTGCTCGGGCAGGCGATGCCAGACTTGAGAGATGGGTGTTTTCCTGCTTCCCAGGAGGGAGTCTTGCGAGGGACGGGTTGCTTTGCAAAGCCTGAGGCTTGGCCTCACACGGTGAGCTCTACTGTACAAATTCCGAGTCCAGGGCTGGCGACCTGGTCCTCCAGGTCAGAGCCCGGCTTCCACCTCAGGTGCCCGCTGCATCACCCCCTTGCAGACCACGGAGGGTCAGGGCCATGACTCCTGCAGGCTGCAGGCCTCTGGAAGCGCAGTGCGGCTCAGTGTCAGGAACAGCCTCAGCACAGCACCCAGGCCACCCCGTCCTGTGAGAACACGGCCAGGACACAGGCACGACTTGCCAGAAATGAGGCTCCTCTCCAACCCCAGAGGGCTGGAAAAGGCGGAGCAGAGACCCCTGGCACCAGCCTGTCAGGATGTCTGAGTGGGCCTCCTGCCCCCCTTGCCCAGCACAGTGTGCCTCATTCCGAGGTGCAGACGTCCCCCTGGAGGCCTGCGGCGCTGCCAGAGGTCAAGCCCAGACACCGAGCATGCAGCATGTCTGTCTGAGGCTAGCTCGGCTGTGTGCCTGCCCTCTCGGCCCCCTGAGACCCTGCTCAGCCCAATAGCAAGTGCAATGCCGAAGTAACCAACAGTGCACCCTGTTCCCGTTGATGTTTATTATCATCTGTAGCGATTTCCCTGAAATGGAAGCAGGCTCCAAGGGTGGGTTTCCATGGTAACTGCAGAGCTGTCCAGAGTGGCTCCCTGCAGATAAATTCTGAAATGGTCCCTTTTCTCTTCCGGGGGGGTGGGGGGCTTACCCATTTGATGACACTAGAGGCCCGTCAGAACCAGACCTGCCTGCTTTGAACACCAGCGGAGGGGCCATTGGTCCCAGCGTGGGCAGCCCCATCCCCTCTCTGCCTGCTCTATTCTGCCAAGCAACCCACATAGGCGCATAGCGACAGGCGGATCTTAGCTCTGGGAAGAGCTCAAAGCTCTCTTCTCCCTGACTCTCCGGGCCTGGGGCAAGTGTACCCTGAGCTAGGAGTCTTCCCCGAACCAGCCTCAGCTCGGGACACGTGGCCTCCAATCCCGACTCTGGTCTGTCTACACGCATGCCCCTGGCACAGCGCCTTCTCCGTAAAACGAGCAGTCATCATCTCCGTGCTAGGCCACAGTGCCGTTGTCATCAAACGAGGGGCTGCGAGTGGACGTGCTTCCAACCCTTTGCCCTGCAGTGCCAGCGAAGGCAGAGCGTAGCATACACACCCCCATGCTCCAGCCCCTTGCTGTGACAGACATTGCTAATCGATTGCAGTGCTCGGGGTCCTTCGTGCACAGAATCCAGCATGATGTGACACCCTACCTGTGGGCAGCGTTGTCTTGGCGTCTAGGTAAGGTGCGCACCGTGAGTAGTCTAGAGAGAACAAGAAGCACATGGATTGGGGCAGCGTGTGTGAAGTCGGGGGCTTTGTGAGGCTTGGAGAATTGCCCACACGGATGCAAATCAGACCCCTCATGCAAGTTGGTTCCAGACAGGGATACCACCGTGGTTTTGTGAGAACCCTGCTCTGAGGGGTCTGAAGATGAAGAGCCATCTCTCAGCTCCTCGGAGAGCGTAGCCACCCCAGGGTCTGTAAAGAGGAGGAGGAGGATGTTCTCAAGGCCGTGTGCCGGAGGCTCAGCCTCCCTGGGCTGTGTGCATGAGACAGCAGGTCAGGGACAAGCTAGAGCAAGCTCCCAGGGCCTGGAAGACGTTGAAGAGGCCCAGGGTTGAGACATTCCTGCGAATAGGGAGTCTGGCCCAGGAGCAGGTTTCATGGTAGCCCTAGGGCTCTGGCTTCCACTCTGGAGTCCTGGATCTGCCAGAAGGAATCACCCTGAGAGTACTGTCCCAGGGGTGTGCCTCGCCTTCCACAACACAGGCCCCTGCCCATGCCTGGCTCCTGGAGAGCCTCGGCCTGGAGCTGCAGGAGACTGCCAAGTGTGGAAGGAAAAAGACATGCTCCCTGCAGATAGAAATTCCAGCTCAAGTGGCAGGAGCGGGTCTGCCAGTCCCTGCAGCTGCCTCCTCAGCCAGGCATTCAGATAGGCATTGACTGGCAGAAATAATCGTTCAGAAGGAAAAGGTTACTGCCTCCCCTCCCTGCCCCAGAGCAGCAGCATGAGAAGGGAAACAGCCCTTCCCCAGACCCCCGAAGACAGCAGGACCCCAGGGGCTCTCAGGGAAGGGACCCCAGCCTGCCTGTGCCCCCCTCTCTGCACCTGTCACTGCCAGCCACCACCACTGCAGCCCTCCCCAGAGAGGTGGCCTGTGGTGCCTTTGGGGCACCAGGGAAGACGAAGGAGGCCAGAGATCAAGGGATGGGGGCTGAGTCAGGAGAGGAGGGACCCTGGGAGTCCACTGGCGTTGTGCTGGAGGGTCAGCTCCCAGGGCGGGAGAGCGGCCCCTCAGGAGGAAGGAACAGGGCGGGGACCTCGGAGCTGCCTTTGGCGATGTTTCTGAGTTGTTCTTAGAACCCGGTATCAGGGCCAGAGGAGCCCTGGTGGTGTCATGGTTACAGCACTGGGCTGTGATCATTAGGTCTGTGGTTTAAAACCAGCCACTCCGAGAGAGGAGGATGGGGCTTTCTACTCCCATAAAACGTTAAACTGCCTTCGGAAACTCACCAGGGCAGGCCTGCCTTGTCCTAGCAGGTCACTGTGGGTCCGCGCCAACTCCATGGCAGTGAGTTTGGTCTCTCGAGTGGCATGTTGTCTGCCAACTAGACAGCCAGTGGTCAAAGCCCACCAGCTGCTTCCCAGGAGAAAGAGGTGTTGGTCACTTCTGTAATGGCTTTGGAAACCCCATGGGGCAGGCTACCCCATCCCGTAGGGTTGCTCTGCGTCAGAAGGGTCTGGGACGGGGTTTGGACCCAGGGATCGGAGCTGGAGGGCCGTGCAGAGGTTTGAACGCAGAGGACTTGAGTCCACCTCCACCTTCCCTGGCTCTCTAACCTGGGTCACACTCTGCGGCCCCTCAGAGCCTCTGCCCTCTCCTAAAGCCCGGACCACTGGGCCCGGCATTCCACTACAGTCAGGCCATCCTGTGAGGGGCGGCCCAGGAGTGCCCACTGTCCCAGGCCATGTGGAGGCATGCCTGGCTGGGAGAGGTGAGGACAAGCCCTTGCCCACCGTGCCCAGCCTGGCTGGGGTGCAGGTCTCAGGAGGGATGGGTGCGGCGGGTGCACGGTGTTCCCTGCTAAGGGAGGCTCAGTCATAGAAGGACGGGAGCTGGGGGCTGAGGGAGGCTTCAGGTCCTGGAATCTTTGGTGTGGCCTCCCTGGGTGCTGCAAAGGCCCGGACCTCTGTGGACCTGCTGCCCAGGCTTCTGGCGGGTCCCTGATGCAGACGAGGCCAGCCCCACAGACCGGCCGGGCTGCCTCCGGCTCTGCTCCGGTCTTTCCCTCACCCCCTGCTGAGGTGGGAGCTCCCCAAAGTCCACCACCTCCTCTCTGCTGAGTAGAGACCAGGTGTCCAGTCTGCCCGTCGTTTGAGCTCAGAAATCAGATCACTTTCCCCTACCTCAGTGAGGGCAGCACTGAAGGTGGGCCCTGCAAGCCACCAGCATCACCCCCATGGTGCTCTGTCTCCCCGGCACAGCCCCGGGCGCTGAGGAGGACGGAACCCTCCTGTCTCGGGGAGGCTGGGGACTTCGTCCCGCAGGGCCTCGGCCTTCTGGGTGGGCACGTCAGCGGGGCCTCAGGTGGAGTCTCGGGACACGTGCGTCTCGTCAGGAGCCAGGCATGGAGCTGGCCAGTGGGCCAGGGGCCACCTGACCTGGAGTGGCATCTGCTTCCCACTCTGGCCAGACAGGTTGGGGCTGACACACCTGGGCCAGTGGGTCTGTTGCCCGCTGAGCCTGGCTGGCTGCCCAGGTGGCCTCCCTGGCAGGGTGTGCCGGCACCCTGCTGGGGGAAGGGAGGGGGTCCTTCCTGCAGAGCAGCCTCCACCCTGCTGTCCCCATGCAAGGCCCCCCCAGGGACCAAGAGGCTCCAGCAGCTTCCAACTGATTCCCCAATTCCCAGCTGGAAAGGCTGTTACAGAATCCCAGGAATGTGCCTTGAGCTCAGAGAGAAAATTCCCAAAATAACTTGTATAAATACTGGAGGGACAGGACGGGAGGAGTCCCCAGCCTGCACTGGGGCTGTTTCCCAGGACACAGCCATACTAGCTGGCTCGCTCCCCTCTGGGGGACGCTGAGTGGGGAGGCAGACCAAGGGGGCCATTCTGGGGCAGGAAGGCAGGACCCTTTCCCCATGGGTCCCCCTCCCAGGCTGCAGCCCTCATCCTCACCCTGACAGAGCTGTCCCCGCAAAGTGTGACAGCAACCAGACCCTCAGCCGGCAAGTCCCGGTGAGCCAGCCACCAGGAAACCTGGCTGTGTCTGGATCCCGCCTCTGAGCCTCCTGGGTGTCTGTCTCGCATGCAGGAGCAGTAAGGCAGGCGCCCGCTTCCCTGAGACCCAGGAAGGGTGAGAAGAAGGCATAGGTGGTGGTGGTGGCAATTTCTAGGGACTTCCCAAGCCCTGCCCTCCCTGAGACACACACACAACACACAGTTTAATCTCTCATCCCGGTGGGTGGGCAGTACAGGTGAGGGGGCACAAGCGAGGCGGGTGTGTGCGTGCAAGCTGAGAGGCACCCATTGTGTCTAAGTGCCTGTCTCAGGGAGGTCCTGGGGTCTGCGGGGCCGGGTGCAGGGCAGGTGAGCTGAAGTCCTGAGGGGCCGGGCCAGTTGTCAGGCAGCAAACAGTCCGGAGTTGCTACCAAACAGGAAGGCGGCTGGTGTCAGGGGCAGGTGGCAGCAGATCCTGTTACCAGCTAGGCCTTAGGGCCCAGCCTGACCCCCACCGGCCCGGTGTCTCCTTTCATACACTAAGGTCATTGAGGGGAGGCGGGTGGGAAGGGGAGGGCGTGGCCAGCCACCCCAATTTGCAGCCTTCCTCCACAAGAGCCTTGCCCTCTCCCAGCACCCACAACCGCATGGGGCCATCTGCCCATCTTGGGACCATCCTGTTCTGCCTGCCCACCCCGTACCCTGGGGCATTTTAAAGTTCACCCCCTCAGAGTCCCCACCGCAGCCATAGCAGGGAAGACAGTTCTTGTCCCTGTTTGACAGACGAGGGGACCGTGGCAAGGGCCACCAGCCCCTGTCAGCACTCGGGGCCAGGGCCGGGTGCCCCACACGGTTCCTCAGGCCCCGAGGGAAGGCCTCCTGGGGTTTTCAAGCTGAGTTGAGCAGTGGGGCCCATGTCTGAAACAGACTGTCATGTGAGACTGTGCAGAGAAACCAGGGCACTCGCCCGTCCGGGCCACCCTCCTGCCAGGATCTTGGCTCCAGGAGCCACCCTGTGGCCTCCCCTCCATCCCTGTCCTCTGCCACTCCCACAAGTCTCAGACCTTCCATTTTCGGTGCTCGAGTTTGGTGTCTGGCAGCCTATGGTCTTGCCCCACCTCCCCCACCCTCCTCCCTGGGGGCCCTGCTGGCCAGTCTGGGCACCCTGAGACAGCACTGTGCCCATGAGGCCAGAGTGGGGCTCCCCCTGCCCCCCTCCTCCGGCCCGTAGCTGCCAGCCTCCAACCTCAGGGGCCGGGAGGCTTTTCCACAGATGCCCCAAACACAGCCTTCACTCTTCCGGCATTGCCGTGTTCAGACTCGGGGAGGACTTAGGACGCCAGGCGTGTGCATCTCCCCAGTGGGTCTCCATGACAACGGAGGCCTGACTGGGGAGCATGGCGAGGAAAATGTTCCAGCTAAAAATGTACGTGGCCGTCAGTGGGCGGCACCAGAAAGGGGGTTCCAAGCACAGAAGAAGCAGCTCCCACCCCCACCCTGTCCCTGCCTGCCCGCCCGAGAAGCCCATGCTGGAGCGGCTATAAACCAGCGACCCCCCCTGCTGCCCTTGGGGCTGGGACACATCAGCTGGCTGTGCCAAGCAGCCCTCCGGGAAGCCGAGGCAAGCCAGCTGCACCTGACAGCTCCCCTGCACCCTTCCCAGTGTGGGTGGGAGAAGATGCAGAGGGGCCAGGTACCCCTTTCTCTCCCAGCCCTGTTTTTGTGATCATTCCTATTACTCTCTCTCCACCCCCACCCCCTCTGGCAACAAGGATGTTTGAGCCAAACAGCGGGGTCAGGCTTCCCAGCATGCTCCTGGCCCTCCCTCTCCAGAGCCGATGGCACCAGGCTCTTCTGCCTCTGTGAACCTGGCCCTGGAAAGGCAGGCTCTCTGCTCAGCAGGGGATCAGACGGGAAGGAACCCGTTCAAAGCCCTGCCCAGAGCCCCCCTTGCCTTCCCCGCTAACTCCTCCCAACACCCTCGCCTGCGGGCCCAGGACCCCCGGGACAAGGAGAGTTAGCTGTACCATCAGCTCAGTACAGGCACTGCTGTCCCGTCCCCCTCCCTGCCTCCCCTCCTCAAAACGGGGGTGAGTTGAAGGTGTGCTCCCTGGTGCAGGTCTGGAGGGCTGATGAACAGAAAGAAGTCTCACCCCGACTTCTTGTCATTCAGACTTATCACAGCTCACAGCCCAGGAAATGGGTCCCTGCAGCGAGGAATGGAGACTCTAAGGCGGCTCTGCTACCTGCAACTGGGGCCCAGGAGGAGCATGGCTGAGGCCTGGCCAGGGGATAGTGCCCTAGCCGGAGGCTGCCAGTGGGCTATGGGCCTGCTCCTCGCCCCAGCTGCCCGGGTCCCCCTCAACCCCTGCGATGTCCTCAGTAACCCTGCCCTGTGCTTGCTCCCCAGGGTCTGATGCTGAGTCAGCTGGGCCACAAGAGCCTGGCTCAGAAGGTGCTGCGGGACGCGGTGGAGAGGCAGAGCACCTGCCACGAGGCCTGGCAGGGTCTGGGCGAGGTGCTGCAGGCCCAGGGCCAGAGCGACGCGGCCATCGACTGCTTCCTCACCGCCCTCGAGCTGGAGTCCAGCAGCCCGGTGCTGCCCTTCTCCGTCATCCCCCGCGAGCTCTGACCGCTGCTGCGCCGCCCCGGGACCTCAGGGAAATACAGCTCTAGTGCAGACCCCTCTCCTGGTCTCGCGCCTCCCCTCTTGCCCCGCAGCCCGCCCACCTGGCGCAGTGCTGCGCTGTGTGGGGAGGATTTGCATCAGAAGCAAATCCCTTGGCCCCTGGAACCGGCCATCCAGTGGTGTCCCTGGGTGGGGACGTGACCAGGAGGCCACATCTCTCTGGGGCGGGGGAGTTGGGGGTCCCCCGCCCAAGGTGTGCACATCACCTGCACAGACACCAGGGGTTAGTGGAGTTGCGGTACCCCGCTCCGGGAACCTGGCTTCCCACAGTTTTCATCTCAAAGCGTGGGCTGCCCTGTGGCCGGGGAATTTCCCACACATCCCCTTCCTCTGCAGTGTCTTAGGACGACACCTGGCTTGAAGCCGAAGGTGACTTTGCGGAGCTGGGGGGACAGCCTGACTCCGGCCAGCTGGGCCCCTCTCAGGCTTGCTGTCCCTGGCAGCAGGGGGTGTGATTACTCTGAGGTCTTGCACCAGGCAAATGCAGCCGACAGAAGGTGTGGCCACAGGGTGTGGGCTGGCTCCTCTGGGGTTCCCTCCAGCCTCTGAGTTATGGGGTGAGGTCCAGCGACGACCCTCTCTGCCTGATGGCCTCCAATGTATCTTTCTGCCACCAAGTGCCTTTGGGGGCCTTTGTCTGTCCAAGGGCACCAAGCACTGGGGTCCTTCCATTTCCATCCCCACGCGCTCCCTGGAAACACCCCAGCCCAAGCCGCCCCCCAACCCCTAGACCAGTGGGCCCTTGGGGGTGATGTCTGTGGAGGTGGGGGTCCTGGGGGCTCTCCCAGCCACTGCCCATTTCCTACCTCAGGCATCATTGGGTGGCCTGTGTCCCACCGTGGCTGTTGGCGTTTCTTGCTGGAGACCCTTGTGCTGGCATTAGTGGCTGTGAAAGGAGAAGGCACCCCAGTTACTCTCTGGTTGGGCAGGAAGACCCCTGTCTGCCAAGCCGAGGGGGGCTGTGGGCGAGTGCCGGCCCTGCTGAATGATGGCCGCAGAGCGCCCCCAAGCAGTCAGACCCCGGGGGCCTATCAGAACACGCCTCTGTGAGCTGCACGTGGGGCTTCTGTGTCAAAGCTCAGTAGATACCATTTCATCTCGGGCTGGGCTCGGCTGCCTGGCATCGCCCCTGCCCGGTCTGTTTCTCAGAGGAAAGGGATATGAGACAGGCCCCCCAGCCTGCACTGCACACCCTGGTATTCCCCAGCAGAGCCAAGGTGCCGCTCAGAATGCTGGGAAACCCCCACCCACCACCCTCTGCATTGAAAGCTCTTTGTATGTGTGTACAGTGTATAAATATATATATGTGATAGAGATCTATTTTTATGTTAGAATCCTGTTAGGAGCATTGTAAACAAGAGCACCCGTGCTGCTGGTTTGCCCTGGGGTGTCCAGAGATGCTGGCACTCCGCGGGTGCTGTGAGGAAAACCACCATGTGCCTCGCTGCCGGCAGCCCCGGCCAGGGCGCTGACAGCGTCTTTGTAGGTTGAATAAAGAGACCCCTGAAGGGGAGCCAGGTCCTGGCGTCTGTGTGCATTCAGCCTGGTCACCTGGGACAGGCTGTGAGCCAGGGCCCTGCAGGGAGTGGGCACAGGGGAGGGAGAGGCCCTCTGAGGAGGCTAGGGGTAGGAGGCAAGCCTGGGCACAGCACTGAGTGCAGGCTGAAAGTTGAAGGGTCTCAGTAGGAACACCTGGAGCTGGGCCTCTGACCTCAGCCTGCCCAGCACTGGGCTTGAGCCCCCTTCTGCCCTGCAGAGCTGAGAGGAGGGGCCGGGGTGTTGGCATCTGACCCAGGCTTGGGGGGAAGCACCAGACGGGGATACGTGACCAGGGCTTGGGTCACGTCCAGAGAGTCCCCCTCCACTGAGAAGACCATACCAGTCCATTGCTGATACCAGGGCCTGCCCTTCCAGCGTGTAAGTCACGTGACCCACGGTCATGGTTACCTAGAGCTGCTCTAACAGCTTGTGGTGGCTTCCCCAGCAAGCTTCTTTTCCCAGTGGAAAGCTCCCTGCCCTCTGGGCTCCAGGGTGGTCTTCACACCACCGCGGTGCTCTTCCCGCGTGTGTGCTGGCTAAATAATCTCAGGTGCCCAAAGAGGTGGACTAGACACCAAATTCCCGTCAACAGTTACAGTCCCAGAAACCTACAGAGGGCTCACCATGAGTCAGCCTTGAGCGAGACTGGTGTGAGGCGTTCACCGCATCATAAAATAGTGTCGACCAAGTTCTGTCTCCTTACACCAAGGGGATCGTCTGGTGTCCCCCCAGAGGCTACAGGCACCCGACTTGGGAGACAGCTGCCCTGGAGGCGCCCCCACCTCAGGTAACACGCATTCACCGATAATAGTAACTTGACAATTAGCCTTAAATTATGTGGCCTACCTACACACTCACTTCCCCAGCTCCTGGCCACCTTGCCTGGGCGAGACCGCTTCTGGTCTCAGGTGCCGGTACAGCGTCTGCCAACCTCGGAGAAGGCCTAGGGTGCTAGTCCAGGGAAGAGAGTGGGGGCGCGGGAGCCTTGCTCAGAGGAAGGAGCCCCACATTTTCCTGACCCTGGCAGGCTCGCCCAGCTGACCACTAAGTCGGCAGGGTTTGCCTTCACACAAACTCAGTGGAGAAAGAGGAAACGCTCTAGTTGTCTACGCGCCCAGTGCCCCACCACCAAGGGTTAGGGTACGGGGGCGGGGCCTGGAGATGCCCTAGTCCCCATGGACCTCCGCCCACCCACCCACTCTCCACCACACAGCCCCGCTTGTGGACTCTGCCCTCTACACCTGTTTACCTGCAGGCACAAGTATGAATGGAATCCCAGTGGCCACCACCCAGGTGGCTCTGGTACCAAAGTGCTCCTTGCAGTCATGCTCCCGGACCCCCACCACCCCCCCATCCCCGACTGCCGCCACTGGGGAGCTATTTCCTGGCCTTGCAAAGCCTCGGGCTACACCCTCCGATTACCACTGTCTTACTCGTGACTCACCGCAGTGACTCACGCATGGGTGGCCTGCGGGACCACCCCCTTCAATGGCCCCAAAGGATCTTGCCAGACCAAGGTTCTCCCGATGCCCCCCAGAAAGTCCTCCCGTGGCAAAGAACAGAGACCCACCGAAGGTAGCCCAAGGAGGGGGTCTCCCTGGCCCCCCCAGCAGGAGGACAGCGCACAGGCTTGGTGCTGGAGCTGCCGCCTGGTCACTACATTGCCTGCAGTGACTGAAGTGTGAAGGCCCAGCTCAGCCACTGCCTGCTGTGTGGTCAAGCAAACCACTCAACCCCCTGCCTCTTTCCCCATCTGTAATCAAAATACTGCTGGGTGGGCTGCCCGGAAGGCCAGTGAGAAAAACAGTATAAAGCAGGACATCCAAAGCCTCTGCCATCGAGGCCATGCCGACCGATAGCCACCTCGATAGGGCAGGGTTTCCAAGACACTAGCTCTGCGGGAGTAGAAAGCCTCATCTTTCCCAGAGCAGGGCCTGGCCCTGCCCGGTGTACATGAGCTCTGCTTTCCCC